CAGGATCAGAGATATTAAGCTTTTGAAATTTAGCTAATTTCTGGAAAGCTTGTCACACAAGCCCTAAATAATTTCCCTTTTTGTTTGTGTCTGAGAGGCACAGCAATCCAAGATATGGCAGAATAGGAGTTTCTGGTAAAACTAAGCTATAAATTGTGCATGCAGCCTGCCTTGACAGCTTTTTCTAAACCTGCTTTACTTATCTTCTTTGCTAGCCTTTTATCCTGCTGGACTCTCTTCATTAGTTGTCAAATTTCTAATACTATTTTACACAAGCAGCTAGAGGCAAAATAGCAGGCAGCAGCAGCAAAGTTCATGGTTAACGGCTTTATAGCATGAGGCCCACAGTGGCCCAGTTGCACATAGGTTTTTCTGCCCTTCAAAGTGGGGCTTTCTTGTAGATTCATAGTGCTATTTTAAGCATTTTTCTGCAAGGGGATGTTAAAGGCAGAATAAACTTTTTTTTCTGGAGGTGGTCATTTACAAAGGGAAAAGTAAATGAATCGATAGAATGGTCTTCCATACTTCAATGATGGTAACAAGCACACCTAGGTCTTAATCTAAGTCTTAATGATTTTATTTTAGAATAAATTCATTAATTTTGTCAATACTTGATCCTTTTGTACAAAACGTGATACTAAGTCCTCTGTAATGCTGTTCCAAATATTTTTATACAGAATACTAAAATATGTATTTGTTATCCTGATTTAGGTGTTCCTATAAAAAATTCCAGTTATGTCCTGAGGCTGTGTTAAAGTATTTCATCTTCTTGAATTTAAGAGCAAACAATATATTCTCCTCCTGGCAGGCTGTCTGACCTACCTCATTCTCATCCATTTCGAAAAATACTCACCCTAGGCAGAATGTTCACAGTGATGTAATGGCTGTCTCTGAAAATACTATGCTTGGAGGTGGCATCCGTTGGAATGACCTATGAAAAATGTCATCATCCATTACAAGTCACCTACCATATTTGAAAGATATTTTCCCCAAGTTTGTCTAAACTGCTTTGTGTAGAAGTTTTATGCTGCTGTTTTCCATCATCATCTATATTTTTTAAAATTGTTGACAAATTTAAGAAGAAGTAATTCAACTCAGAAAGCCTTGGACACTGAAAAAGTTTATGTTTTCAAATGACAGTTATACCTGCAACTAGAAAGACTTCTCCACAACAGCCTTTCACTGCATGTGATATTCTGATATTCCAGGAGCTTCTTTAATGTATGAATATATAGGTTAGTCTCTTCCCCACTTTAATACCCGACATCTCTTTTAGAAGTATTAGAAAAGGTATAAATTTTATTGCTGATTGTTAGCATGCTAACAGCTCTCAAATGAAACCTAAACTGAAATTCTGTTTAGGCTCTGTATCGCACATAATTATTAATTTGAGACTGGGTTCTATGGTGTTGTCAATACTGGTGCCCATTGTGTGCTATTGCTAAAGTAAATGTAGCTTTGCTAATAATGACAGATCAAAAAAATCAGCAAAAGTATGCCCTGAACTTAATCACATAAATTCTGATTTATCCACTATGTCCTACAGCTTGCCCTATTTTACATGTTATATATAAATAACAGCTCTCAGACTCTAATTTTAGTCACTAATAACCTGAACGATGCTTGAACCAGTAGCTTGAAGTTGCATATCCTATGACCTCTCCTTTGCACTAGCCAACCATCTCAAGGCAAAGACCTTGCAAGACGTCAGCCCCGATTACTTGTTGCAGTTGTGTCAAGCAGATGTTTCAAGAGGGTGAAAGTTTGAGAAGTGTTACTAGTGCAATAAATTAATATCTTAGAATCATAGAATTGTCTAGGTTGGAAGAGACCTTTAAGATCGTTGAGTCCAACCATCAACCTAACACTGCCAAAACCGCTGCTAAACCATGTCCCTAATCTTCTAAGGGTTATGTTTTATAGAAATTTTATTGCATAGGAACCATAAAGCTAGCTGTACAGGTCAGTCAGCATGTATTTTTGTGCTGTAATCTGTGGCTAGGACTGTTTCTGTTCGCTTATTAGGACTCTTTGGTGTTGGCATTCTATAAATCAGGCTGCTAGTTCACAGGGTGTGCACACGCAGCCTAGGCTCTTACTACTTTTGTTATTATCCCTTTGGAGAACAAGCAAAATCTTCCTCGCAAGTCAGTCAGTGCATTGTCATACTCAAAGCACTGAAAATCATGTACAAGGAAGTAAAAAAATGCTGTTGGCTGCAAAGTCACGATGATTTAAAGTCTACAGAAGGGAACTAACTCACCTATCCCCCAAGTTGCACCAAGGATTAATATGGGACAGTAAACACATTTCTGAAGGAATGATTCGTAAATTATTGGAAGTTTGTAAATGTGTTCTTTTTTTCATGAGTTTCAAATAGGCAGTAGGTCAAGGTTGAACTATTTTAGAAAACTCCTCTTTTGTGCTTTGAAAACTCTATCCACAGTGAAATAAGCAATTTAAGGTAAAGCAAACCTGGGAAGTGTTAAAATACATGTGAAAACTTAAAAATATCACATTTTAAAGCCAGAATCTTTCCTAAAAAAGATATTGAGGGAGTTTCTTCATTCCTTGTTGACAGAAAAATTGATAACATGAACAAGTATATAAGTGATATAAATTTCCGGTGTTCTACAATCAATTTTTATAGTATTATTAATTCAACTATGTAGCATTTGATACAAAAACACTAAGATATTTTAACATTTCTAACAAAGATTAATGCAAAAGTTCTAGTATTTGGCTTTTGTGGTGGGGACCATATTTTATCTGCATAGTATTGCATTATTTTTATAGGAAGGTGTCTTCAATTAATTTATCTGATTCTGAAAGAACTCCCAGGAATTATTAAAAAATATAGAAATGAAAATTGCAAAAAAAAAAAGTGAATACAATATTTTATATCTATACCGTGAGTAAAAATTGCAAATGTATCTGTTTTACTGAGCTAAGTCTCATAAAAAAGCATACTGGAATTTGGTTCTCCAAATGCTTATATTCCTTTGAAAATCAGACATGGGAGTGTACTGGCCTGCAGGGCACAGCTTTGCTACTGTCACAGCCTTTCTGTTGCTCCACGCTGTGAAATTCAGCAAAAGTAAGCAGAAAGGCTACTGATAACCCTGCTGAGTAAACTGCATATAATCCCATGATTGCAGCCAGAATGAACAGGAGTCCCAAATCTCCTGCTTTCTATGTTTTGAGTGAATATGCCATACAGAGGCTGATATATACGTGAGGGTTGCATAACACATAAAGATCAAAATTGAGGTAGCTGCAATTGCAAAGCTTCAGTAGGCTTTATAGAAGACTTGAGATGCATACTTTAAATACCTCTATGAACATAAAGAAATGGAGGATGCAGGAGACAAGAATAATTATATATATTTTACTCAGGCCAGACATGTGCAGATGGAGGTTTTTAGTCAATAGAAATTGCAAAAATGTAAGTTAACAAAGTAACTACCTGAGGTCTTGTTAGCCTTATTGCCATTTTGGTGTTGCTGCCTCCAAATACTGAGGAAGCAATTTGCCATGCAGTTAGTAGAGGAAAGGACATTTTTGACAACCACAAGACTCCAACTTCTAGACAAAACCTCTGAAAAGTGTGAAATCTGTCATAATATAAAGAGAATTTGCAAAAGTGTGTCATATGTAGATTACTCATTTATTAATGACAGGTATGGCATTCTAGCTAACTGGCAATAGACTCTCCTTGCATTGAACTGGTTTTGTTTCATTGCTAAACAAACAGAGATCTTAATAATCTCATTAAAGGGAGCCACAAAGCTGACAAACATGACCAAGAAGAAATCTGAAAAGGCTGTCTTTATCTTTCACTGAGATGTTGTTTCATGACAGAGCTGTTCAGAATGAAACATCAGTAGGGAGACATACAGAACATTGTTGACTATCAGGTTATAGAATAGGTCCTACATAGAGCACTGTCATCATGGGGCATCGTGGGGCATCACTCCCCATTGTTTTCTTTTTAAGAGTCAATCTTTCAATTTTTTGTAGTGAGTTAATGTTACTAGATGGTAACTTTTCAGGTAAATTTGATGAGTTTTTCAGTAGAGGAGTTTGCAGTTGGAAAATGCATTTTCACAGAAATGTTTTATAGAAACATTAACACCAGTGCAATCCTTTGAAGAGAAATAAAGGCAGTCAAAGCAACACACCATGTTTTGACTTGGTACTACTAAATGTACCATTCAAAGAGTATAACAGACATTGATTTACATTTCTATTTTTAATAGTTATGTTACATTAATATATATCATATTTAACATTATTATATTGAAAAAAGAAAATGAATTAAGCAACCAGATCTAATTCAAGGAAGATTTTTTTTTCCTTACATCAGATAATAATAGTAAATCACATCCTATCTCTTCTATGGAAGTTCAAGAATCACTGGATGTAACTAATTCTCAGCACCCCTCAATTTAAACATGAAGTTTCTTGTGAGAAGAGAGAGTTTAATTTGGAAGGAGCTGGTCCAGACAGCCTACCAAATAGTCTAATGGACTTTTTTACTGATTTAGAAAAGAAAGACTTAGTCCATAATTATTTTTTAAGTAAGAAATTATTCGTGCATATATCAGGAATACTTGGCTGATTGTATTATATGCTAAAGATTCTTGGTAAAGATATCATAGCATGTTAGAGGTCAGGCACTCTTTGAAGTTTTCCATGATACATGTTCAGAGGGAATTATCCTTTTTGACATAAGTATTAGGTACAACTTCTTGTTTCCAAAACATAATTTGGTCCTTTTATTCCAGGAAGAGTGTGTGCTTATGTGCGGGGCTGGGGGGGGGCATGTGTCTGTGTCTATGAATGTCTTTGAATTACTAAAATTAAGCATGTTTTAAACTT